TCCACGATGCTACATTTTTCGTATGTAGTTCTCCACAACAATGCTTCTTTACGTCACCCAAACCTTGGTGATGACATGTTATGTTTTTTCCACACGGAATACAATGGAACTTGTGTTTAAAGTTGGAAACAGCTCGAATTGGAAATTCTTTAGCCCATTCTGCTTTATAAGCAACTTTATATGTACCAGCACCTTTCCGTTTCTGTGGTTTTGTAGACTTAGCTTGTTTAGAGACATGTTTTGCTCACGCTCACGATCAGTGTCACTGTCACTGTCTGACACAGTCACTGACTCTTCGTTGCTCGATGAAGCACATCGCTTTGAACTTGCGGCTAAAGACAGGAATCTAGTCCGGCTTCTGATTGGCTAATACTGATATCGGAATTAGGCGGAAATCAGATCATCGGTCCAATATCGTCTCATATTCGGAGGTTTTCCGTATCTGACACGTGCTTCGCGCGTCCTCACAGAGACGACTGGGGACGAGCCAGTTTCCGTATTGATAATCGGTTCAATATCGTGTTCTACTCGGAGTCTCGGAACATTGTTTATTGTTTCATATATGGAAGTGACTTTGTGATGTATGACTTTGCAGGTTCATATCTTCGGTTCGGTAAATGCTATGTAGATGAAAATACCACCATTCGATACAGTGAAACTGAAACAATATATCCTAATGTCTAACAATAGTTTTAGTCAAAGACAAACATTATAGCGATTTATGACCTTTGTCTTTGAGGGGTCAAGACATACCATATTTCAACAAATTACATATTTGTTCGAAAAATGTAAACAATGTATCACTACAGACATACCTTTCGCCGAACACAACTTCGGCCCCTTCGAACATATCTTTTTCATTGTAGTCTTGTTCGATTCACAATCAAAAACGCTATATACAGTGTTATTTTCAAGCTTACATCCCTAGTTTTTCATCTTTTATTTCCGTATTATAAAAATATATAAAAAGTCTTTTATACCATATTAACTTTATTACTGAGACCATGTCAAGTAAGACCATGTCATAACAAATCCTTTGTTTACATTTTGAACTGCTATATTTGTAAAATAAGACATACTAACTGAATATCTAACAATTTTCTGGTTCGCTATTGTAAATGAATATAAAGTAGAGTACGTTTCAATTCAAAAAAGTTCGAAAGATGCAAAATTTGGGCAATTTCTATATCTGGCCTTTGGGGGTCCCCCTTTGTTATGAACTTATGAGCAGAACTGTTGCGCAGAACGGACTTGACATGGTCTTATAATTATTGTGTTTCTCCATATTTTAGGCTGACTCTTGTTAGAATATCTGGATATAATATTTTCATCCTGTAAATTGACAAATACTGATGTACAACGAGGATACCTATTTACCGAGCCAAGGATTCGAGCTCGGATTCGAGCTCGGAATCGAGCTCGGAATTCGAGCTCGGAATTCGAGCTCGGAATTCGAGCTCGGAATTCGAGCTAGGAATTCGAGCTTGGAATCGGGCTTCATATAGAATATAAGTTGCCTTAATACCACCGCCTCAAAAAACGTCTCAAAGACAAAGACGCCGCTGTTGAGCAGCGAATTTGATCGCGCGCTTAAACAAATTAAATATTGCAACTAGAAGCACTTCAATTTCGAAAATGTCTAGTCTTAAGTACTCTGTTCAAGATTCGTCCCACGGAAAACCAGTTTATGCATGAAATGAGGGTTACCTGCACTGCGGATTATTGTCAATTTTAATACCACCCTTAAACCATGTGAAGAAATTTGACGCGTGGCATTGTGGCAAGGTGCATGGAATAACCGTCAACACCTTATACTTTGTGACAATGCATTGTGACATGTCACTATCAGTGGCCCTCTCAGTTCATATTACATTTTACTTCAAACAGGCAAACAGCGCTCTTATATAGTTTTATTGTTATTATTATTATTATTATTATTATTATTATTATTGATCTTTAAACACGGTAACCTTTCGCATAGGTGATTTTCAAAGGGCCGTGCGGAAAATAAATGCAATATAAAAGAAGGAACTAATAAACTAAATTATACTTATTTACAAAATATACTTATTTACTTATTTACAAGATGTAATTATTTAATAGATGATGGACAGATTTTAAACTTGTTGATTCTCTTAGGGTTTTCAACAAGTTTACTGGGATGTTGTTCCAGTACGCTGCTCCTCTGTACGAAAAGCTATTTTTCAAGAAATTCGTTTTTGGTTTAGGTTGAGACAGCTTTAAATTACTACTGCGCAGTACGTAACCATTGTTTTCGCAAGTGTGAAATAGTTGTGTTACGTATTCTGGAAGCATGCCATTAATCGCTTTAAATGTCATAAGGAGATCTCGCTTTTTCAAAACTAAGTCAAGAGGTTTCCAGCTAAGTTTTTGAAAAATGTCCGAAGATCTTATAGTATAGTCCGAATTTGTTATTGTTCTTGCTGCTCGTTTCTGAATTAGCTTATATAATTTGTCTAAGTGTGTTTGGTTGTTATTTTGCCAAACAGTAGGCCAACAAAATCTTTGGATTTTCTTAAAAGATTAATATTTTTTGATATCTTGTTGCATTGTTCTTCATTTTGCCTATTCCAGCTAAGTCTATCGTCTATAACTATACCCAAAGCTTCCTTTTTATAAACTCGTTCAATTTGATGTCCGTTTATGCTGATTTTTGGCACGTGATCTAAGTTTTTCAATCGTTGCCGAGATCCAATAATCATATATTTGGTTTTTTCGTTGTTTAATGTTAGTTTATTCGCTGATAACCATTTTTGAGCATTTACTAGGTCTTTGTTAAGTTTGTATTCAATATCTATGGATAAATGCCCTTGACATGATAAAATTGTGTCATCAGCAAATAAATTAGAGTGTGTTGTTTCTAGGCAGTTTGGGAGGTCGTTTATGTAAATGAGAAATAGTAGAGGTCCAAGATTTGAACCTGAGGTACTCCACAACGAATTGTTTCAATATCAGATTTACAGTTATTTAGCATGCAAATTTGCTTTCTTTGATCTAAATACGATTGGAACCATTTGAGCGTGTGGTCGCGTATCCCATAAACTTGTAGTTTTGACAATAGAATCTGGTGATCAATCGTATCAAATGCTTTTTTCAGGTCTAAGAAAATAACCCCATTTATTTGACCCTGGTCCATTGATTTCAACCACATTTCAGTAGATTGTAGTAACGAGGTTTCGGTTGAGTGATTGCGACGGAAACCTGATTGATTTTTTACAATTATGTTGTTGTTATCCAGGAAGGTATTTAGTTGTCTACAGACTAATTTCTCAAATATTTTGGCGATATTTGAAATGACTGATATCGGTCTATAGTTTTCACATAAGGTTTTGTTTTCTGACTTATATATTGGAGTCACTTTGGCAAATTTCCAATCATCTGGAAATATTCCTGTCCTAAGAGATTGGTTAAACACTTCTAGGAGTGATTCAGTTATTGTATCGCCTGCCTGTTTTATTAGCTTAGTTGAGATCTTATCTAGACCCGTAGATTTTGCCATTTGCATATTTTGTATTTCTCTTTTCAGCTCATAGCTTGCTATGCTATGAAAGTGAAATACATTTGTGACTTGGTCTATATATGACAAAGGATCAGGACTACAGCCATTGTCAGCAATGTTATTTGCTAATTTGGGACCTATAGAAGTGAAGAATTTATTAAACTCGTCGACTATGGCTTTATCTTGTGTTACATTTTTTCCATGGTCTACGCTAAGTTCATTAACAATTGTGGTTTTGGATTTCCTATTAAGCAGATTATTTAATGTATTCCAACCTTCTTTACTATTTTACTGTTTTGTTGTTTAGTGTTGTAAAATTGAACCTTAGTTGCTTTGATTCTTTTGTTAAGTTCATTTCTACAACGTTTATAAGCTTCGTGGTAATTAGAAGAGTTAAATTTGACTGCTTTTTGTTTCAGTAGGAATTTATGATGCGCAAGGTTTTTTATTTCGTTTGTCATCCAAGGACAGTGCTCACTTTTGACTTTCCGAATCCGAAGTGGAGCATGCATATTTGCAATATCAAGAAAAATAGTTTTCCATACCTCCCACGCATGATTTGGGTCGGCATAATTATAGAGGTTGTAGTGTCTTTGAAATGCCATTTTTAAGTCGTATTGAAATGCAGATGAATTAAAGTATTTAAACTGCCTTGTTTCTACAATTTTTGGTTCAGCCCTAGGTATTCCTACTTTGCGGCAAATGTACACTAAACTGTGATCACTCAGTCCTAAATGTATCACTCCAGAGTCTATAATTTTGGTATCGCTTGCTTTAGTCATTATTATGTCAATTAATGTTTTAGATGTTGTCGTTATTCTAGTCGGACTTGTAATGTGTTGCTTTAGCTGAAACTCATTTAACAGATCAGATAATCTTTTTGTATGATGAGTGGGACTGTTTGCCATCATATCGCAATTTAGGTCGCCAGTGATAATAATATCAATATGTGTATCATCTAGTTTTCGCAGTAACGTTTCGAAGTCGTTTAATATGCTAGTGTTAGAATTTGGTGGACGATACCATGTAACAATTAAGAGTGGTTTTGACTTAGGTTTTTGAATTTCAAGACAAATAGATTCTAAGTTGTCTGGAATAAATTCGATATGGTTTTTATAACTAATGATACTTCTTATATAAATTGCTACACCGCCGCCATTTCGATCTCGGTCTCGTCTTACAATATCATAACCTGGTATCTTAATAATATTGTCGTTAATTGTATTGTCTAATCTAGTTTCGTTTATGCAAAGAATGTCGAATGACATTTCCTTCATGAATAATTTAAGCTCATCCATGTGTTTCGGCAAACTAGTGATGTTTAAGTGGCCAATTTTAAAACCCTTTACTTTTGGATAAGACTTATTAATTTGGAAAGGAATTTTTGGGCTTTTCGAGGTGCAGCGTGCTGGACTATCGGAAATATCTTTGTCGACTATATTATTATCGCTGTGTCTTATGTCATTATTATTGTCGTTACCTAGTCAATTCCTATTAAATGGTTTACGTCAACATTATTGTGCCTGATAAGACACCAATTTCGTTCTATACATAGTTGGGCTAATCCCTTGTTATATTCGTTTACCTTATCAGCCAATGTTTCATCGTCATTTCTTGTTATGATTTCTGATAAAACTAATTCAATATTCCCGTTTTCTCGAGTAATGCTCTCTCCAAGCTTTTGTACATGTGTCAACAATTCATCTGGCGTCATTCTTTGTAGATCATTGGTTCCGACGTGTAAAATAAGCTTATTTGGTGCCGTGAGTAACGTTGGTTTTACATAGTGATTCATTTCTTTTATTCCCGCACCAGGAAATGTTTTTACAACAATTTTATGCTTCATTCCTTGTTGAATTCGTCTCGCGTTTATTTGTTTAAGCATAGAATCGCCCAAAATAGCAACTCTTGATTGTCCTACGCGCGGAGATCTGCGAGAATCTTGGGCTCGCTCGTTGTTGTTGTTATTTCGGTCGTTGTCTGCTTGTTGTTTTCTAGGCGCAGAATAGTTACGTCTTTTGTCTTCATTGGACCTGATGGTGTGTCTGGGTGGTTCAGATTGATTTCTATTCTTAGGTAATTGACTTTGAGATAATATGTTAATCTCGTCGTCACTTTCATCAACTAAAACAGAATATTGATTATCTGTCTTGGCTAGTCCATTGTGACTATTTTCCCCAGAGTTTTGTCCACGTTGTGTGCTTTCATTCTGATTTGGCTTACGATTTTTAACAACATTCCATGACCATGTACTTTGTTTATTTGTATTGCAATCATTTTGTACAATTTTGATTGCTGTTATTAAACTTTTCTGTTCATCTTCTAGTTGTTTAACTTTCGTGTGTAAGTCCGATGCAATACACTTATAGTTATTGACTTGGTCCGATAGTATGTCGATTTCTTGCTTCAGTTTGCCATTTTCTTTAATTAAGGAATTTCGGTCTTCACTGATAGTTTCTTCTGTTGTTTTGGACTGTCGAATTTCCTGCAAAAGCTCATCGAATTTGTTTACAAAACACAGTTCAAGGTCTCGTATACTGTCGAGTACTTTGTTGTAGTTCGATGTCTCATGTGAATTTATTTCGATATGACTGTTTTCGGTCGAGGCTGTATTTACGCCGTCTCCCTCCCTGTCGCCATTTCCTTCACTGACAAAAGCGTTTGATAACTCGGTTTCTTTATCAGCTAGGTTGGCCATTATTCGCAACCGAGAGTTTATTTCTTCGACTTCGTCTTGCTCCCCTTTAATAATTAAAGAGTAATTGTTTGAATACCACCGCATTTCGAAGTTGTCCATCTCTAGCAGCTTACAATGACCACCAGGGCCGAGGCGATGACCATTTTGTCTGTGTCTCGAGCAACTCGTTCATCAGTATTTCGAGATTCTCGAAAGAACCTGTCCATCTGAGTTTTCCTTTTTCAGTAATATTAAGATACTTAACGACATTGATGTTATTCGCTCGCTTAGATTCTACATTTTTTGTTGTATTCTCTTCAACATCGCTTAATTCGGCGTCAGAGCTCACAAATAAGCGTCCGTCCGCCATGCTTGTCTTGTTAAAACTAGAGCCAGTAGAGGGGACGGCTCTGAGCTAACTGTTCGGTTAACTCTAACTTCTGAGCTAACTGTAACGGCTCTGAGCTAACTGTTGCTGTTCCTTGTACGATTATGTGCGTGAGGCACTTGCCTAATGCGTAGTCGTCAGGGAGACAAAGGTGTGACCCTTGGTAACGGGCGATTAGTTCTAATCGCCCGCTCTAGCGGGCGATTAGAACTAATCGCCCGCTACAGCGGGCGATTAGTTAGTAATCGACCCTGTTGAAACAAAAGAAACCCGGGCAACTATGCTATTACACTAATAAACGGTTTGCTTTTTTATTTTAAATTCCAGAAGCAGAAGTTTATGCACCTGTGGCATCAACTTAGTGCTAGGGCATTCAAATTATAACAATGGGATAATTTCTATAGTGTCACTTTTTTTTTGGGACATCGCTGTACAGGGTGTCCCAAAAAAAAGAAAACTATTGAAATCACTTATTGTTAAATTTGAATGCCCTGCCAAACAGATGGACGTAATGATACGTAAAATATTGACAAGGTGCATGTATTAGAATTTAGTTAGGAATATCTCCTGGTAAAGTGCGCGATTTTCTGCTCCTGGGAATTAAAAATAGCTTCTTAAACAGTTTCTTTATGCATAAAATTTACTTATGTCAATCATTTATGCACTCGTGGGAACCAACAGAGCGCTAAGGCATTCAAATTCTAACAATTAAATTGTTATTGGTGATTTCAATAGTTTTCGTTTTTTTTGGGACACCCTGTATATATGCAGATGAAATCTCGATCGTTTCGGCGTATTTCGGCCATTATACGCAGTGGTTCGAGCATTATACGCGGTGCTTTCGTCATTATACGGGGTGCTTTTAACATAATTTCCATATTCTTCCATGTATATAATCTCACAATTGCTATGTGGCTGTGCTTTTTGCCTCTGGTCTGCAATGACAATGGCATGCTTTTAAAAGGTTTATTTATAAAAAGGTGACTGCCTTGTGAGTTCTATATTATCATATAGTGTTGATTTATTAGTAATAAACAGTGGCGTGCTGGGTACTATTTTTCTGGGGGGGCCAGTCGGCTGGCAACTAATATGCGCCCCTATAATATTACCCTTGATAAACGAGGGCCGAAGGCACGAGCCGAGCGCCACAGGTGCGAAGTTTGTCTAGGGTGGTCTGGGGGCACTGTGCCCCCCGGGAAAATTTTTGAATTTAGAGTCTCTGAAATGCCATTTCCTGGACTTTGGGGGAAGATTTGACAGAAATCTGATGGTCAGGAAACGGCATTACAACGTGTCGAAATTTGAAAATTGGTTAGAATTTAGTAGTAGCACTTAAATTGGGCAATGCTAACTACTTCCAGCAATTAATCTAATCCCAATTTTATTCTCTACTGATCTGAATTCATTTACAACTTACAGCTCTTTTATACAATAACACACGGACCCCACGCATATGCATGATTCCCGTGATCGCTTCGAAGCCTGATCAATATTCCGGTAATGAGACATTGCGTGTGATCACTGATCATGTTTCTATATGAACGAGTGATTTCGTGTGAGTCGTGAGGTAGCAAATACGGTTAGACAAAATAGTCTGCAATTTAATATACTCACTCACTTTGTCGCCTATGCGCTTAGTCTGTTTATAAGTGTATAAACACATCTTTCCTTGGCGGAATTAGTAACTATATTTCTACGAATGCGTTTCTTCCCACCTACTTTCAAAATTCGGCGCGGGATCGGCGCCCCCTTTTCATTTTTGCGCCCCTCAAAAATTGCCAGCTGGGGGGGGGGCGTGGCCCCCGCCCCCCCCCCCTGCCAGCACGCCACTGGTAATAAATCTGTGTATATAACATATATAGGTATATAAATTAATATAACGCAGCAAATGCGCGCCAAGCAGTATAAACGCGGCTGAAATACGATATTAATTAAAATCTTGAACGTGCCGTGCATGTCATTATCATTGCCCTTTAATAATTATGATCATTGAAGCGGGGCCGTTTTGACTTTGGGCCGTTCTGACCTAGCACCGTATTTGTAGGAAAATTCTGTCTATACAATTTGATATACTAGATATCACAGCCATACCTGCCATTTTGATCTTTTCCTCGCGTTAGATAAATTGATAAGAGCATTCATTCTTGTTAGCCATAGTACCTGTTCGGCTGTTTCTCTTTCGATACGAAACTTCGAGCGCCGAGTTATCATACGGCACATTCAAGTGTCTAAATTATGGATGATTCAAATTCATTACAAATATTTCTTACTCTTATTCTTTAAATATTAAAGATTTGGGAACAATGCTATACCAAGGCATTATAGCATTTCAATGCCCTATAGCATTTCAAGAGTATAAAAAAATATAAAAAATTTTTTCGTATTGATATATAGTTATATCAAATTGAAAATTGTAAGAAAACACTTGAAATTGTATGAAAATTAGTAAGAAATTGTATGAAATTGTGAGAAAACACATGAAATTGTATGAAAATTGTACTCGAAATTGTATGAAAACACTCCGCCCTTCGGGCTCGTGTCTCCATACAATTTCTCGTTTTCCCAATTCCACTCGTGTTGATATAACTGTATGTCAACACGGAAAATGTTTTATATTTGTTAATTATTAATCGTTTTCACAGGACACTATCTAAGTGTATTTAACATTTCGTATATTTTGATACCTCACAGTTTAAAACATCATGGATGACTTGCATGCATGTCGCGTTTCATCAGATTTATGATTGAATTGTATGGCAAGCCGTGTTGCTGCCAAAAGTCGGTCGAATGTTATATTTAACAAATATAAAACATTTTCCGTGTTGATATACAGTTATATCAACACGAGTGGAAACTGGGAAAACGAGAAATTGTGTGGAAACACGACGCCCGAAGGGCGGAGTGTTTTCGCACAATTTCGAGTTTTCACTATTTCCACGAGTGTTGATATAACTGTATATCAACACGGAAAAAATTTTATATTTGCTTTATAACATAGCACAAAGAAACATAAAGAAAGAAATTTTCCGACGTTTTCCGTGTTGACATTGAGTTATATCAACACGAGTGGAAATTGGGAAAACGAGAAATTGTGTGGAAACACGACGCCCGAAGGGCGGAGTGTTTTCGCGCAATTTCGAGTTTTCCCAATTTCGGTTTTCCCAATTTCGAGTTTTCCCAATTTCGCACAATTTCGAGTTTTCCCAATTTTTCGCACAATTTCGAGTTTTCACAATTTCGAGTTTTCCTGTAGCCTTCCTTAGGCCTCCTTTGGGCTCCTTACCCTCCTTAGGTAGCACTCCTTAGCCCTCCTTATGCCTCCTTAGGGCTTAAGGAGGTGAGGCCTAAGGATGGCTAAGGAGACCTAAGGAGGGCTAAAGAGGGCTAAGGAGTGCTAAGGAGGTCTAGGGAGTGCTAAGGAGGGCTAAGGGGACCTAAGGAGGCTTAAGAAGGGTTAGGGAACCATAAGGAGGCTTAAGGAGGGCTACGCAGGCCTAAGGAGACCTAAGGAAACCTAAGGAGGATTAAGGATCCCTAAGGAAGGCTACGGAGACTTAAGGAGGCCTAAGGAGACCCTAAGGAGGCCTAAGGATGGCTAAGGAGCGTAAGAGGGCTAAGGAAGGATAAGGGAGGCTACTGATGGTTATTGAGGGCTAGCGATATCTAGCATGATGATACACTACAATAAGGGGTCACATATCTACCAGTACCAATGCACTACTTCATGCAACCTACACCTAACGTTAAACGAGAATCGAAAACTCGCTAGCGAGAATTGAAAAACTCGCTAGCGACAATTGAAAAATTCGCTAGCGAGAATTGAAAAACTCGCTAGCGAGAATCGAAAACTCGCTAGCGAGAATAAAAAAACTCGCTAGCGAGAATTGAAAACTCGCTGACGAGAATTGCAAACTCGCTGGCAAGATTTGAAAAACTTGCTACAGAGAATCAAAACAACGCATTTCCAAAGCTGAACAAGCATATTTTTTATCTCAGTACCATTAACATTTCACTCGAGGATAGGTTTCTATATAACTGTACTATACTGATATATAACACTCGACCGACTTTTGGCAGTAACGGCTTTCCATAGAATTGTAGAGAAAATTAAAAATGACTATAGTAAAATACTTTGCCAAACTATCTTGACTTGTTTCTTTCTTGACATATTCAAGAATGTTCGATGCGCAAATTCTCCTAACTATGACGTCAAATTGCATATAAAGACTTTGTGAAATTTAAAATTATGAATCTAAAAAGATAACTAATTCGGAATCTGTCGTCATATAGTATATATTTGTAGCATGTTGACCTAACACATACGCACGGGTTTTACGATTTCGATGAACGAAACAGCAGTTTGTTTTTTGTTGTTGTTTTTTTTTGGGGGAGGGGGGGAGTTGTTACGCAATGTGACGTCATAATGAGAATAATTTGCATATCAAACGTAAGCCGGTTTTCCACTATTACGAAAAGCAATAGATTTTTGGGAACTTTTTTGGTAGCAATGTACCTATATGCCTTTCACATAAACCACAAACCAAGTACTTCCCACATGGGTACCACGAAGCGAAATGATTTTGGCCCACGGCCTATATATGCGGAATTGTGCTCGCGGAGCGGATTTTTTTGGCTTTTTTAATTAATTCCACCCGAAAAATCTCAAGACAAAGAAAATTTCCGCCTAGTAATTCCCGGCTTGAGATAATTTGGGAAAGTGACTTATTCTGTCAATTTGAATTTTCTTTACAACGCAATCATAAAAAATGGTGTAAAATTTCGTTGCATGAGCAGTTTAAATTTAGTTTGAGAAATAAAATATTTAGTGCACGAATATATATTGAGATCAGTTCTAGACAATGTGGAACACTTCAATTTCTGAAGGTTGAAAGTTCTGTGTTCCTGCCAGGATGGTGTTTGCGTTGCTGACACCAGATGGAGCTTTGTAGTTATTCAAAATTGTGTATGAATAGGTATTCGAATCTGCTTCATTGGATATGTATATATCCCAACCATATCCAAATGTTGGTCCATAACTATTGTGTGCGAAAATTGCGCGCTGGTCATTTTGGTCTTTCAGTGAGGTTTTAAAAGGCAGGAGATTTTCTTTGTTGCGAAGAGAGAATATGAAGGATCCTCGAGCTTGTTTGCAGTCACTACCTGTTATAACGTAAAAATAATGTTTTGACATATTTAATCAAATTTATATTGAGTATCGGCACAGTAGTGTTGCAGCCGCGGACGAATTTGAAAAATTTCAAGTGTTCATGCATATGTTGCATTTAAGCCTGCCACACACGAAATCATTTGGCTGAGCTAGCCTTCACCCCTGCCGCTAAGCTTGACCTGAAGTTCAGGCCCTAATCAAGTATTAGCTTATAACTCTAATATGTTTGTCTCAATCGTAAAATAAAGAACTAAGCTAGTATTTTATTCGCTCTAATTTCGAAATAGCGGCAAATATCACGTATCACGTGAGAAAGATATGCGCTCTTATTGGCTACTACATATTCACAGCTGAGCTTATAACTCACAACGTCCGCAATAGATCGCAAAGTTGCGATCCTTGCCTTGCGTGAACAAAATAATCAAACACAATAGAATTTTTCCTCACGGTCTCGCTGTCAAATTCCGCAGCAAAAGCCGTGTATTGCCACGCGTGCATGGCGATTAGTTCAGCCAAAAAGCTCTTATATGTATGTGCGGCAGGCTTTATCTAACGCGGTATCTTTCATTTAAATAATTTGTCATAACCATTTATGAGTGTGGTAAAAGGAGAGTACTGATTACGTTTATTCATGGAAAATAGATCCGTAATTTCACGATTCACGAAGAAAACGTGCGTTTCACGAAAAATTAGTAAGACGCTGTTGCTGAAATGTTTCTTTCGCTTATACCCACTAAACGGCGTATAGGTATTGTACAGTTTATGTATTTCAGTCGAAGCAAGATAAGAAATGTCCATTAGTTTGCTAATTTTCGACTTTTTCTGCATGATCAAAACGACTTTAATGAAATGGTCATCTTCTCTACGGCCAATGAACATCTTCTCTTTTTTCGATCCATCGCACGAAGCTAGCGTGTAACTGATTATTTACCCACTCACTGTCGTACTAGTTTGGACATGCACCGTTTAAAAATGTATTCCGAATTTATTGTTCAAACTCCTGTCCGGTTATACCAAAAACGCCACGCTTCTCAAAATATTAATTATATAATTTACTGTTGAGAGTATAATCTATACGCTTACATGCACCTGCATGCAGGCATATCTGTACGTCTCGTTATCTTCAAGCAAGGGCTCTGGCATTTTTCTTGTTCAAAACAGTTGAAAACGTGATAGGAAAAACTATTGTAAGTCTCACCATCCCAAGACTCCGTAGCATAACCACCGAAGATGTATTTACCAACTTTTATTATGGTCACGGTTGGTTTCTTGTTGTCACATTTAGAATGGAAGGTAATGGATGCCCATCCATGTAGAGTTGCACGCCAACACAGCTTCCAATTACTGCTTGGTTTTCCGGTCCATGAAGTTAAACTTGACGGAAAGTCAGCTGGTTCTCCAGACAATATGACGGAGTCGGAAAGTGTCGGAACGTTAACTAAATGAGAACAAGAAACATGATGAAATTCTAACGGTCAACACATCTTTTTATTCATTGTATTTTTGTTTTATATAAGGCATTAGAAATGTTGAAACGATCGCATATGAAAGAAACATCAAGTTAAAAATTAAATCCCCAAAAAATCAATTGCATTTAATTTTGATCGTCTTTAAAAAATCTCACTCGTGCAGGTGTTTTTCCAAACTGGTATAGCTATATGGTCTCAAATTCGTACCCTTATCTATCTCCTCATTATCGGTTGATATTCAACTTTCCCAAGAGCAGCATCGAACAATCTCTTTAGCCCGAGATAAAGGTGCCTCTGGATGGTTAAATGTCTTACCACTGCAAGAAGAAGGCTTCTGTCTGAATAAAGAAGAATTCAGAGACGCTTTGGCGCTGAGATATAACAAATATATCCCAGATCTCCCAAGCATATGTCCCTGTGGAAAACCTTTCGATCCTTACTACGCGATGGAGTGTAAAAAAGATGGCTTTATACATGCGCGCCACGACCAAATGAGAAATCTGGAAGCTGCTCTCCTCTCTGAAGTCTGCAATGATGTTTCTATCGAGCCACCTTTACAACCGGTGACAGGAAAAGAATTTGCCTTGAGATCAACAAACACAGAAGATGAATCACGACTTGATGTGAAAGCTAGGGGTTTCTATAGACATGGCCAAAGTGCATTTTTTGACATAAGAGTAGCACATCTTAACGCCGCGTCCTATAAGTTACTACCAACCCACAAGATCCTCTCACGTCATGAGAATGAGAAGAAAAGAGAATAAATCGAAGAGTAATTGAAATTGAGCAAGCAGTTTTTACACCATTGGTCTTTGGCACAAATGGTGCGATGGGTAAAGAATGTGCGAGATTTCACAAGATTCTTGCTACAAAGCTGGCAGCCAAATTTGGCAAACCATACTCAATAACTATGTCTTGGCTACGTACGAAACTCTCTTTTTGTCTGCTGAGATCTTCCCTTCTATGTTTGAGGGGCACTAGAGTTCCTTTTTATATGAATAATACTAGTTTGTTTGACACTTTGTACTAACTTGGACCTTTTTAAACGAATTGCTTTAATGGATTTTATATATTTTTAATGTATCTAGCTATGCTCAATCTATGAATAAATCTTTTCAGTATCTATCTATATAGCCTACATAAATAAACAATCCAACAAACCTCGGCAGCAAAATAATAAATTACTTAAGCAACAGAATTGCTGCACTTGCAACAAAACTGAATTGAATGATTGCTATAATTAATATTGTTATATAGTTAGTGTCAAAGTTCAATTTTTCTATTTGCCGATTGGTCAAAACCGTGTCACGTGCCGGTCCACAAAACGTCATGTTCGGCAACCGGTCCGCAATCAAACATTTATTGACCGGTCAATAATAAAATGGGTGCAATACGCATGCGTGTCCACCTTGAAGTTCCAAAGTTCATTTTTAAAACTTTTTACTAAACATTTACGGCGTTCTATTTATCCAGTTTTGGTTTCAAATTAAGTTCACAGTGAATTATTCATACTTTGACACTTATATATACTATATAACAAAACACTTGTTTACTGAGACCTCGGGAAAGCAGTGTGTTTTGTGGCCCCTCGACCGCCTTTGTTGCCCTCGGCTTCGCCACGGACAACAACGGCGGTCTCGGGTCCACAAAACACACTGTTTCCCTCGGTCTCAGTAAATAAGTGATAATTATGTAGTGGACAGTTTCATGTTGATCGAAGTTGCATGCAGCATCCGAGCGAACGTGCGTAAACCTTTTTAGCATGGCTTGATATCAGTCCTTGTTGCAAAAACTTCTGATTCTCATTCTATTTCATTTGTATCTTTTCCTTTAACAACTCACCAATTTGGCAGAGATCTCCACTGAATCCCTTTAGACATTCACACCTGTACGGATCAGAACCAGGTCCATCTTTGAGATAAATGATCGTCTTTCCTCCATTTTTACAACTCTTCATTTTATTACACGGAAACTGCGAAACAAATGTGTTAGAATTCAGCTCACCATAAACTAGGAGAAATTCAGCCTGCAAATTTAATTGTTTATATAAGCTGAAACTGACAGAATAACATCACAAATTAACTATAATGATTATTGGTCGGTATTTTTAAATGAGAGCAATTTTTAAATGATAATTTTACCGCAGTGCATGGATGTCTTCAAATATAGCCAACTTTTTCATTAAATTTATTTCATTTTTGGAACTATAGAGTAAAAAGATGCAATAGTGCATCAACTGTATAGTATACAATTTTCTCAAAAAAGTATTTAGCTACAATTTTCTCACAAATATAATTGAGTCCAAAGCCAGGATGAATACAAATTTGACTCTAAACCATTCTAGATATATAGACTGGTTTTTTACACTACACAACTTTTGCCTAAAACTGTCGCATGCAACCTGGTTACAATTTTAGTTGTACTCCAGGTGATCTCGTGTTCGTATTTTAGCCAATCAGCGCTCAGAAAGGGTTGTCCGAATAGAAATCCATTTTGATGTATTCAGTCAATTATATCTTTCGTTATTCTTTATGTAACTATGTTTGGTTATGAGAACTATAGCTCTGACAAAAATATGGAATCGAAATAAAGTATATTACAGGAGATATTCAGTTGTTTTAATCATAAAATGGATTTCTATTTGACAACTAGTGCCAGTACTTTTCCGCGTATCAAGATCACCTGGCTGTTTAAACCATCACACATGCATGCAACGCGTATATATATACGTCGTCTTGTTATATAGCGACAAAAGTAAAATCAGCAACATAATAGCCTGTATTTATGACAGCAATAAATTATTGCATTTCATGACAAATAAAAACTCCATATAAACGAGTTTTAACTAAACTAACCTACTTAAACGGTTTCAGCTGCATACCCTAGCTGTTGTCTGTTGTGTATGTTTCTTATCTTTTATACATTCTTTATTTTAACACAAACGTGGAACTGACAGTCTCAGTTTATAAACTGGCAAGTTCTGCTTAAATTTTGTTTATTTATATACATGCACGTAGCCTGAACCGTTCAGGTGGACAACGATTTTTAATCATTTTTTACTTGTTGCCTAGTGGAATACGTTGCACGTTGGCATGGTGGCATCTTGGCCTATAAGCTGTATATTAAACAATATAAGGTATATAGCTAATAGGAAAATTTGTGAAGATCGCTTAATTTTCATGCATTCTTTCCACTAATTAACTGCCTGGGTTTTAAAATTGCAATGCATGATTATTCTTTCGACACAAGAAAGAAAGTATGAAACGAAAACGTTCAACGAATATTTTGCCAAGAATTAGTTCGAACCTGCGATTTGCCGTTCCCGGAAACGAGAAGCTTAAACACCCTATTGCTTATACTAGATAAGCTAATTTTGGCAAAGTTTATTAAGTATATATTTTACTGCAGTTTCGTACCTTTCTTGGAGCAACGGGATGATAAAATATCCAGCCTTTGTCATCAGCGTTGCAATCATGAAAGTTGTGATCCAGCGTGTGTGTTAACTGGCAGTTTGAAGTCTTTTTCTGGTGTTTTTTCTTAAAATTGTATCCAGCACAGAATGGATTTTGCAAACACTTCATGCCACAATGATTATGGAAATCATACGTCGCTTCAGAGAGAATATCTTTTGTTAAAGGACAAACATCTACAACGAAAAGATTATTTATCAGGGAAAGAAAAACGTTTATATATACATGCGGATAACTATATTGTTGCAGAAATGACATGAAAAAAACCCCACAATATATAACTCTGTGAGTTAGAAGCAAGAATAAGGTTTCCCTATAAATTAAACTTACCTCCATACAGCGAGCGAAAAGGAATCGCCACGTTCGTGTAATCGTCACGCATGCAGTATTCTTGTTCCATTGTAACTGCAAGTGGCAACAAGATCAGGAACATAAATCGCACAGACATGAGCGCTGTTTGAAGAAAGCGTTTCATTTTGTTGTTATGAGAGAACATGCACAGACTCGGGTAAACCAATTTTTTGCTTGTTTTGTGAACGGTAAACCAATTTTTTGCTTGTTTTGTGAACGTCGACTGCAGCGATCTGATCGAAACTGAAGTAAGTGGCGAATTTTAGGACGTTATATATAGAGCTATACATACGACGCGCAAATAATTAATTCCCATGCAGTTATAAGCTCATTAAACATGTTTACATTACAAAACTAACAGTGAGATAAAAAACGTGCGTAGCCCTTGGCATTTACGGTTTTCCACTTTGGTTATTTGAGCGTCTTAGTCAAATTGCCAAGTGAGTCTCTTTAAATCGTCTGTCAAATTTTCACCTGCATGTTTACGGGTTCGTCTGGAACAAATTTAACGCAAATATAAATTTTAAACACCAATACTATAGCAGTTTTTGCGCTGATAGCTTCAGCATGCATGTACCTATCATATGAAATTCAAGTAACTCCAAAAAGATGTTTGCATAGTACACTAGTCGAAATCAATTTTGTATTGTGCTGTGTAGAGACCGATATACCTGTACTTAGCCCGCTAAGGCTTAGATCATTGTCAGTTCAGATCTATTTTTAAAAGGCAACATTGATGTGAATAATTTATAAAACTTTGGTCCCATTTTGGAGAGATAGTTTCCTTATATTCACAATAAAATTTCCACTTAAAACCATTTGATGGGCAATAATATTTTTGAACGCCCATGTTTCGTGAGTGCAGATGTTCATTTTTATATGTTGAAGTTTTTCGCATTCATAGTAATTTTTTGGATATTGACATTACTGATGCCCAACACAATTTTTGGAAAATAATGGTTATTTTCGAATAAACGCAAAGTAACTATCCTACTGATGTAAAACGGGATCTAAAGGGTTTGAATTTTTCACAAAAGTTAAACAGCTGCCGTTGCTATGGCAACAACGTGACGTTTCAAGTGGGCGGATATTTTAGCTTTAAAGTGATCAAGTTTAACTCGAAAATGACATCGGCGAATCTCAAATTCTATTTCACACAATTACTTTTCTTGGTGATATACTTAATTTGATTATCTTTACCATTCTGAAAAGATTCCGTTGATTCAAAAAAATTACGAGTTTATATTAAATTGTTTCACAGTAAAACTGTCAAAATAATTGAGTATACTAAGTAAATCATTAAAAAATATATTGTGGGTCAGCAATGACGTTTTCGAGTCTCTGTTTTCGAGTTAAACTACTTCAAAGCAAAAATATCCGCCATTTTGAAACATCATTGCTGCTGATAGAAACGGCAGTTGTGTCAGTAACTATTGTGAAAACACTCTTTAGACGTTGTTTTACATAAGTAAGATGAATTAATTTTGTTTTTCAAAATGTAATACGCGTCCAAAACTACGGATTTAAATCACGCAAATTTTTTAATCATGATTCATATATTAATAAACTGCATCGAACGGCACATTCATCAAATAATACATCATTTGGTTTGCGGAAACGCAAGAGAGGCAACAATAACTAGCTAGGTTCTTGATCTAAACAATATGCATCCTTCTCCTTTTAAAACCAGAAACAGTAAAACCTTCACATGCGGACAGCACTGCAGTTCCGTTTGTGGTGGACGTGCAGTCGCTCAAAATTCGTTTTCAGCATGAGGTGCTGTCTGATTGAAGTTTAGTTGAGAGTCGATGATAAAATCATATTGAACAAGCCCCCTTAAACAATTTACTGCCAGGAATAATGGAATATTATTATAAACTAAATCTCTATGGACAAAAAATCTAATGGCATAATTTCCACGTACATCAGTGTCAAGGTCCAGACCATAGACAATTCAAAATCATTGTCTTTTGGATTGTCTATGTCCAGACACACCGGACGCGATTCGACAACGCGACGCGATATTTTAGTTTTTGAAAGTTAATAAAACAGCCAATGAGAGCAAATTTTAAAAGATATGTAGACCAAATAACTCAAAATGTTATAACGCTTCTAAATATTTGGAAAGTTTAAACTAGGATCAAGGTTATCGGTCAGTGAAAATCCGGAAAAGTCGCGTTGTCGAATCACGTCCGGTGTGTCCGGACCTTTAAGGCTAATTTCCGCTCAGGAAAATAATCCGTGAATTGGAACGGACAAGAACATTTTTCTTTGTCTTGTGAGCTCTGGACTTTAACACAAAGAGAAATGTTCTTGTCCGTTCCTATCCACGGATAATTTTCCTGAGTAGAAATTAGCCTTTAGTGACCAAATTTTTTGCGCGCAAAATGCAGGCATTGCATGCATGCATGCACCGAGTCTCCGAGCGTTCTACTGACTGACAAATTTAACTTTTTTGCCAGGGAAGATGGCGAAAATTGCGTGTAGCTATATTAGTTTACATACAGTGACAGTGTGTATATATAAGTACATTTTTGCAGTAATTTAGTAGCGAACATGCTTTTATTTTTAAATTAACTTAAACAGGTGTACGTAGCTCTATAGACTTCTTCGGTTATATATACGCAGCAGTTTGTAAATTGTTTTCGAGCAATTTCTATAACAACCTAAAAATGTTTACTTTTAAACACTTAGCTATAGCCACTGCGTTCATACAAGCGCAACTTTTCGAAAGGTCGTGTTAATTAAACACGTCCTAAATATAAGGCATGCAGCTGGTATAATATTAGATTAAGTGTAATAACCCATGCACTTAAGGTCTAGAATATGACTAGCAGTTACTATCGCAAGGAAAGTGTTGCCTTTTTGCCACATGAACTGAATGCAATATTATGTTTCTACTTCTAGACAATTCTCTATAACTAAAGGGAACCATACTTTTGACCCATTAATGGCCTCATTTCCATGTTTCATCATTCGTGCCATGACAGGCCTGCACATGAAGGTTATATCCCCTATATATATATTTCCTGCACAAATTTGTTTCTCGTTGATCATTTAAGCCCAATTAGACCAATCACGAACTTATTCTTAACAGAACACGAGTATATGACAAACATAAAAATAGGGCCATGAGCCCATGGGGTCAAAAGTGGATAAACAGTATTAATGTCTATTAACCGACTAGCTGGCAATGCATCCTACTTTAGTATTACCTCTGTCTAACACCAGACAATGTTACACTGTGTAACGCCAGACATTTTTACTTGTCAGTGCTAAAGTATACTGTCAGGTAAATGGGTTAACAAACTAATCTGCCTATGTCTCTTATTAACCCATTAGCTGGCAATGCGCCCTACTTTAGTATTTACTGTCTATAAACGCCAGACAATTTTACTCGTTAGTGGGTGGAGTACTGCCAGTAAATGGGTTAACAAGGATCATAACATATTTCAGATTGAGGTAGTTAAATTCTCGGGAAACGTTTAGGCGGAAAATTTCACACATGAAGACAAAATCCCCTCATGACGACAAAACACCAAGACTGAATGATTACATAGTCTGTAGTACTTTATTTAAGAAGATATTTAATATAGCAGTCTTTACAGCAGCCAGAGAGTTGAGAGATATGGAAGACAAATTAAATTGCAGGGCCGTAGGAAGATGATTAAAGTTGAGGGGGGGGGGGGGGGGG